GTGATGAAGTTTTAGCTGCCTAAGACAGTTGAGACAGGAAATCGTTCTTCATTGATCCCCAGATGGAAATTAGAATTTACTGTCAGCAGCAGGGGCAGATTAACTTATCTTTGGACCTTAGGCTACGAGCAATTACAGCCTATGCAATAATCCGCCCCTGCTTACCAGTTTTTATACACATGTCCAATGCCAGTTTCTCTGGAAACTTACATAACACAGTTGATTCTTTTTTTTGTCATTATGCAGAAATTCATTTTCAGGGTTAAAACCTGTGGAGCTTTTAGTTGTACATGTACTTTCTTTAAGACAAACCCAAAAATACATAAAAGAGTACCATCCACAAAAGAAGTCTTAAATGAATAACATGTCCTTCAGTAGCTATGATCCACCTCAGCCAAACTTTTGCATTCCCTGTAATTATTGAGGGAGTAGGTCTTCCTCTGCTGAGGTTCTAGATCCTGCCAAAGAGATTTACCTCTCTTCAGCATATTAGTGATATAATAATAATAATAATAATGAATTTCCCTCAAGGACCAATAACATTCATCATATCTTGCATCTTGTAGCTCAAATTCCTTAAGCATTTAAAGTCAGCAATAAACCTTGGCTCATCTTACCAACAGCTTGTGGAGACCTTGCCTGTCTGGGATACTCAGAGTAAGCAGATGTCTCTGAACCTTCTAGCACTAATTTGAGATAATTAATTGAGTTAATGAGGTTTTCACCTACATGTGTTGCTATGTTTCTCAGCACTTCGCTGCCTTGACTACTGCCTTTTCTACGGCAAGTTAAAAAACACTGATTTGTAAAATCTGCAGTATTTGAATTTCCGTCAATTGAGTGAAGAAGCTTGCTCTGGCACAAGCAGTCCACAAGTACAGCAAATGAACGGGAATTCATTCCATATTCATTTGCACACTTCTAGTTTGCATTTTTTTTGCCATCAAGGATCTTGAACAGGATTATATACTGAAATTTGAAAAGAGTTTGGCTGAACTGGTCAAATTTTGACAAGTGTTTAAGTGTTTACATTACCTACGGGCAATAGAGTACTGCACTACATTCTTCAAAGTGCTTATTATTTATTGTTTTTCTTTATGATTTGCAAAGTGTTCAATGTGTATTGGAAACTACTCTGAAAGGAGCTGTAGACAATCAAATGAATCTTATTTATGGTTCACCAAAAATAAAACACAGTTGGGCTGTTATTAGTATTAGGCTGTTATTCCATAGTAACAAAAGAACACTTAGGGACCCAAATGCAGTGAAAGGGAATTCAGGGAATGAGCCAGCAAACATGGTAATCAGCAGGCAGAAATCTTGGTCTTGCTGGCAGAAGGAAAAAGGTTGAAAGCCAGGGGAATCAGTCCTAAGAAGACACAAGGTAAGTAGAGGTAGAGGAGTTTAGAAACTGGAATGGGATGGGAATGCAGGAAAGCACGGAAGAAAAGGAGAAACACTTAGTATGTTTTATAAAGACATTAGCTCACACTGAAGATTAAGACTGGTGAGAATATAAAGTAATGAGAATAGGTGTGGATAATAATAGCTAATGCTTGATATCTCATGGTGGCACAGACCCCACCCCTGATAGCTGCCTCCTGGAGGCTGACCAGAGTGTCAAGGACGGCCTCAAGGACAAGGAGCTGGTTTGGACAGGTATTAGCAGTAGACGGCTTCAACCTGGGCTGGATCAAGAACATTGGAGGGTGGAAGTCAGGCGCACTCTTTCGGACTGTAGCCATCCCAGTCCACCAGATACTGAAGCCAGCCCTGCCAATACCTGGAGCTGAGGAGGGCCCCAACAGCATAGGCCTCCCTGTCATCCAGCAGGATGAAGACTTGTCAGATTTAAGCTAGTCTGGGCTAAATGTAACTGAACGAAGATAAAGGCCATTTAGACTAGGGTAAATTAAATCTGACAAGTTATTTGGGTAAGCAAGAAATTTTGCTTTTTGAAACGAGTTCCTGGTATTACTAAATGGCTTTCCAACTTGGTGTATTGGAACACTGTTATTTCATGTGTGACGTCATTCCCAGATCCGAGTTCCGACCTCCAAGGTAAATGGAATGCAGCAGAGTGACAACACTGACAGTGCAGTTCATCCAAAGCCAATGGCACTGATCTCCACCCAGCTCTGTACCTCACACTGTAGGCCTAACTGGGGTGAGTCATTAGCTAGTGCTAGAACTAGAGTCCCAATAAGCTAGACTAAACAAGTGTGTTTTTAGTATACACGTGATTATTTAGAATGAGCCTAACTCTCACACATCCGCTGGGAGACTATTCCATTGCTCCGGAGCTCTGTAAGAGAGTCCTCTTTATAAGTTAAGAGCAGTATTTTATAATCAATCCAGGACTTAACTGGAAGCCATTGAAGGGAGCATCAAACTGGGCTATTAAGCTGTAATAGCTGAAAGAGAGACTTGAAGACACATTATGGCAAGTACAAAAGACTCCTGTCATTGTGAACTGCGGACCCCTATCCAACACAATATCTTCTGACATGTCGTAATACCGAAAAACCCACTGGAAGAGGAGGTTGACTCATTCAGATGCAGAGAGCAACCTGGACAAGGTTATCAATCTGCACATCTTCAAGAAGCAGACCATAACTGTAAGGATGACTGTGTTGCCCTGGGAGTGAGGGTAATCAGTCATAAAATCTAGTGCAATATGGGATCATGGACTCAAGGGAACAGGTAGTGGTCTCAGAAGTCTGGGGCTAGTCAGGAAGCCTTATGTTGAGCATAAGCAGGACAGGAGGCAACTCCTGTCATCTCGCCAGTTAGGCCACCAGTAACAGAGTGACAGCCGGCAGAGTTTGGTAGAGATGCTGAGGTGTCTAGTGCCAAGAGAAGTATGAATCCATTGCAGTGTCATCATTCATAAGAGGGCAGGCACCAGAGCAGTATTTCTCAAGATCCAGACTTTTGGTCGAGTCTGATTGTTTGAGAATAGGGATTGTACAAAAGTGGTTTTGGAGGTGGTGGAAGGCTACTTTGGTTTCAGTGGTCCAGTGGAGTGATCTGTTCTTTCAATGGAGGAGGTTACTGGCGTGGTGTCAGAGCTGAATTACCAGAAAAAGTGCCTGCAAAATCCTTAAAAACACTAGAATCCTCTAGAGCTCATTCAAGGTATTTGAATTTTATTGCTTTTATTGCTCAGACCTTGCCTCTGTCCATCCCCACACCCCTTGGATGGATGATATAACTAAGAGCATAATGCACATTTTTCTCCCTTCACAAAGAGATAGAGTTCCTTTAGGCATTGGATGACCTGCCATACCCAACTGACATGTCATCAATATCCACCATAACAGATCTATTGAGCATGTCAGCAAATACCTCATTCATAAAGGATTGGAAGACAGCGGGGCTGTTGGCCAGTCCATATGACATAACTAGATATTCATATTTCTCCAAGCTGGGGGTGAAAGCTGTCTTCCACAAGTATGTGTTTTGTAAAATAATGGGACAAAAAAAAATTCCTTTCAGAATCATCTGTTAGTGTAATGGGTACAGTTGAAAAATTTTACTTATTTGCATTCACACCATGTGTTCATTTGTCTGTACTTCACATACATGCTACTGTATGCACAAGTTTCTTTAAAAAGTCAACGTTGATGGTCTAATTCTAACTTTGCTCTCAGCGGAAGCGGATGCACTTCTCTCCCTCTCCCTCCCCTTATCTTCCCTGCTTTGCTCCTCTCGTCTCGTCTAGTCTACTGTCTTACTGTCTATACTTGAGAGACTCTCTCAGCCCTGCTCTTCAAAACTAAGGAAATTATGGATTTGATCAACTGGTCTCTCAACGCAATTGACACCATCTTCTCGACGAGAAGCCCAGGTTCAGGGGAACCTGACTGTCCTGAAGGAACATACGCAGCTGGCTACACGATGGACGGATGGGAGAAGTGGAGGGTCGTGTGTCTGGCAGCTCTTTCCGTGGAGGACATCGAAGACATTTACCTATTCGGAACCATGATTACAGGTCTGATGCTGATTGGATTAGGCATTGCCCTGACTTATCGGAAATTGAAGAAAACGGTGACAGCCGGTCAAAGCCCAACTAGGCTGGCCGGGATGATTGACGGACTTGGCAGAGCTGTAGGCGCCCAGACTATGGCTATAGATCACAAACTGGATAACATCACTGTGTCTAACGACCGCAGATTTAATAACATCACCGTGACTATGGACCGCAGATTTCATAACATCCCGGAGAGGCTCACGGCTCTGCAAAGGATTTTGGATGGCGGAGACCAGCATGGACATTAGAGGAGCTGCGAAATTACAGTTTCTCGCCTGAAAACCCAAACAACCCCATTCTATCTGCTTTTGGCTCCCCCCTAATCAGCACGGGCCTTGGCCAAGGCTGCTGCTGAGCTGAACAACTCCCCCTGAAGAACAAGGCAGTGAGACTCTCTTGCATTCCTCTCCCCCAACCGCAAGGACACCCTACCCCCATCCCACGCCTTCGCCGCTTCATACCCCCAGTGTGAACGAGCGGGTCTGTGTACAGCGCCGTTGGCTGCAGGAACGGATGGCTGTTTGTCTATGCTGGACTACCTCCACCTCCCCATTCCCCTCCCCTGTTTCAAGTGTCGACTTTAGTGTTGTGAGATGTGGTGACTATGTGCTTATTGCTGATGTGTTTTTTTTCTGTTCCTATATTGTACTCCCTACTGGAGTACAGTCTGGGGGCTGTTTTTTTTATTCACCTCCACTCTCCTCACGTAATCTTGTTTCTCTGAGTTTTCCTATAGCCCCCTCTCTTCCTGACCTGTCTACCCCCTATTTGTGTATGCGATGTTTGTATATGTATGGTCAGGTTGATGGCCAGTTTTTTCGCTGGTACTTGTGACTAGTGACATGGTGTATTGCAACAGCAATAAAGGGTTTCATCAATCAATCAATCAATCAATCAATCTTTGGTATGTTCTTTGTAGGATATGACCCCCTGTTATAATCAATAAACAAAACCAAAATGTTCTGAATCAAATTTAAATATTTCATTTATTCAATTTCTTGCAGCGCTACAATGAATACAGCTTAATTAATGTCATATCTACATATATTTCTTAATACCAGGAATCCATGATGCGCCTCATGGACATGAACTTCATGCCATCGAAGCTCCTGTACTCCCCAGGCCAGAAGTACCTCATCCTGCCCCTGTAGTGGGGCTGCTCATACATGAGCCAGTGGCCGTCCATCGCGTGGCAGGACATGCAGTTGGACCAGCGGTAACGATCCATGAAGGAGTCGCAGTCATCCGTCATCTCCATCATCTGACCGCCAAAGTTCTCCCTGTCATACAGTAGATCCTCATCCTGTACGATCCTCTGTACTGTTTGAAGAACATAGAAACAGATTTCAGTTCACTGCAAATTGTGACAGCAATATCGTGATAAACTTATTCAGAATATGAGTTAATTTATTGAACGTTAGATATCTATATGTCCTTTTATCAGGTAAAACTTTAACAGTAACAATGTTAAATACTTTACCATGGGGATCATGCGGCAGGATCTGAACCAGTCACTCATGCCCATGCTCATG